AAGCAAGCCGCTCTGCCTCGCCTGTGACGCATCTCCAAGCGGAGTGGGAGCAGTCACCTCACACATCAAGCCAAACGGGGAGGAAGTGCCAGTTGCCTGCGCCTTTAAAACACTTTCACCAAGCGAGCGTAACTACGCACAGATCGAGCGGGAAGCGCTTGGTATTGTATTTGGAGTGAAAAAGTTTCATAAGTACTTGTACGGCCGGAAATTCACACATATTACAGACCACAAGCCTCTGACCGCGATCTTCAATGCGCACAATGCAATCCCAAGCTTAGCTGCTCTTCGAATGCAGCGTTGGGCATTTACAGTCCTTTCCTATAACTATGATATCGTCTACAGGAAGTCCCAGGACCACGGCAATGCGGATGCGCTTTCGCGGTTGCCTTGTGATTCTGGTTCGTATCACCCCGATGAAGACACCTCCGCACTGCAAGTCTCCAACGTGGAGCTGCTCCCCGTCACAAGCGACCACATCGCAGTGGAAACTCGGAGGGACCCAACGTTACCAAGGGTGCTGGACTTTACCTTGAACGGTTGGCCCAACTCCGTCCAAGACAAGGTGCTCCGGCCTTACTTTAACAAGAGGGACCAGCTATCCGCAGACCAAGGATGTCGTCTGTGGGGGTGCCGAGTCATCATACCACCATCAATCAGAACGCGACTGCTGCATGAACTCCACGAGGTCCACCCAGGCGCAAGTCACATGAAGGCCAAGGCTCGGAACCATCTTTGGTGGCCAGCGTTAGATAAAGATATAGAAGAGTTCATCAAAAAGTGCTACGCTTGCGCGTCCATGCAAAACTATCCGGCGGCAGCACGGCTACACCCATGGTCGTGGGCAAGAACCCCGTGGGAGAGAATTCATGTCGACTATGCTGAACTGAACAAGCAGCACTATCTCGTAGTCATGGACAGCTTCTCGAAGTGGATAGAAGTTCTACCGACAGGGACGACAACGGCAGCTCGCACCATTGACATGCTGAGGAACCTCTTCGCGTCCTATGGAGTTCCCTCTGAGCTTGTGTCGGATAATGGACCACAGTTCGTCTCAGGGGATTTCAACAACTTCTTGCGAATGAGCGGGGTGAAGCACATTCGCACACCGCTATATCAGCCGGCATCGAATGGAGCTGCTGAGCGAGCAGTTAAGACATTCAAGCGAGCTTGGATGAAAGACTCGTCCATAGGAAACGCACAAGGAGAAACAAAAAACCAAAGGCTGGCCAGATTTCTCCTGAGCTACCGCAGTACTCCGCATACTATAACAAAGAGGACACCGGCTGAGCTATTCCTCAAGCGGACACTTCGAACCCGTCTTGATTTGATAAAGCCAAGTACGGAGCGGACCGTCGTCAAGCATCAACGCCAGCAGCATTTGGCGCACGACAAATCGCGAAGACCACTTCGTAGCTTTGATGCGGGTCACCGGGTCCTCGTGCGAGACGTGAGAGGCCCCCAGCACTCGTGGTCACCAGGCATTATTGTTTCCCGACGAGGACCACTCTGGTATCTGGTGGACGTTTGAGGACGCACAATCTCCGTTCACTTGGACCATATTTTACGACTAGATTCACAACCACCAAGTCGTGAAGTATCAGGCCCACAGCCATGGATCCTCTTGGGTCCAACTGCTAGTCCTGGAGCATCTACGTTAGCAGATGGAGATTTTCCTCGTCCAGCAGCAACCGCCCCACCTCCAGTGGTGCAGACAGGGTCGGCCGGCGACACCTCCTTAACGCCGGCTGAACTTTCAACTGGGTACCCGCAACGCGTTCGGCGTCCCCCAGACAGACTTGGAGCGCTGCCTGACCGACCGGCTGCTGGAGTGCCCCTGGAACTTAACAAGTAAACCTGGAGGAATGTGGTAACTCGGGCAATGGAGGAAGAAGACGTGCACGAGCGGACGGGCGAGCTCGAGCAATCAGGAACCGGCCACCATCGGGCAAGCATCGTCTAGCACAGCCTAGCCTGTACAAATATGTAAATAAACCGCGATTTACTATAACTGACATGATGGGAAACTGGCCCTTAATAGCTCCGCTGTAAAAATAAGCGTATGTGTGTGTGCGTGAGTGTGTGTGTGGGGGGGTAGTTTTAAAAACATACTCTGTTGTAAAGAGGTTCCTCTTTCCCTCATCTTTGGCGGACACCAAAAAGCGTGGGCCCGCAAACTACTTCGTTTGCTAAAACACTCTTGCCAAAAACCACGTTTTTGTCGTGCCGGACGCTTGCGCAGTTCCTTGCGAAGATGCACTAAGAATAATAATACGTGCCTTTCAAATCCTTGGATTTCATCGGGCTTGAACATCCTGCAGCGTGCATTTCGCACCATCGAATTTGATTTTCTCAACAAGAAGTCAAGATGACCACCACCATATAGTATGATGACGTCACGCGCATGCCATGTCAAACAGTTCAGCTTTCTGGTGAAATGTGATGTTCGCAACGCTAGCAATAGATTTCCCAATTGTAAAGTTTTGCAGTATTTATAGTGGTCTCGCGATGATATACGGCAGCCTAGAAAAATGTTAGAGCGCATGATTTTTGAAGCACAGTGTTGTAAAGCGAGGGCCCAAAACAAGTGCAGGTAAAACCAAATATAACATTAGCCTCGCGAGGTAGTATTTTGCGAAGTTTCGAGCTCATGCAAGCTGATGAAATGTGATTTATATTAAGATGTTATGAATCTTCATCTGTCCTTCGCTCTATTCGTGTAAAATTATTAATTTCATTGCGTGCATATTTACGTATCTCTTTATGCAGTAAGGCGTTCTGTAAGAGATTATTTAGAAAAATACCATTAATTATCTCTTTTTTTAACGTTTTGAGTATTTGCCTTCAGATCTGTCATGTGCACACAAGGTCCTTCTTGGCGTACTTTGAACCCGATGTTCCACACTGCCAATCAGCGAACAGAAAACACTTTTACTCAGACTGAACAGCTCGCGTGGTTTCGAGTATCTCCTTTCGTGTCGGTCTCAAGCGGTTATGTGAACTTTCTAACGTAATATTTATTGATCATTATAAAAATATATTTAATTGCTAACTGAATATATGACAACCTAAATAAAGTCCGACCACTCAAAAGCTATGCCCCCCAAAATTATTTGAAAGGTGTTCTGCCAATCTTTTCCGGCGTTAGTATCCTCGAGAGGCACGTTGTAAGTTATTTGGGACAGCCTTACACACATTTTTTATTTTGAAGCTAATTTAAACAACAATGTGTTCCTCACACATATAACTTCTTAAACATATAGAAGCTTGTCCGGACGGACATACGGACATGGTTAGCCCCTAAGGAGCTTCGCCCCTAAAACATTATTTAGGAGTGCACCGGCATTAGCTAGAAAGTACCGTTAAATTTCAAATAACAAAAAAAAAACACATTTGTACGCTGGGAAAGTAATGTCAGCTACAGCTGTTTATTCTAGATGTTTGTTTGGTTAGCTTTGTGCTTTCTTAACGATATTTTGTGTCGATTACGCGTGCAAAGTATATGGCTTGCGCAAAGCGATAATCCTGAAATGAGATGATCTCGTCTCACATCCGTTTAACGTACCTGAATCGAGTTTGTTCCAGTAATAAAAATGGAATTTTAGCACTTGACATGATAAAAGAAAACACACGGTGGCAGTTAAGCATTTTTAAAGCAAAAAAAAAAATAAAACGAGAACATTTGACACAGGATGGCTTGGCCAGAGACAAGAGTGTGCGCGAGCGAAAAGAATGGGAGGGGCGATGGCGGAAAGAGGCGCGGTGTTTTCGTGGCGCCTCCCGTTTATATATAGGCTTCCGCCAGGGCATGACGCTATTCTGTGGAAGAAACCAAGAGGTCACTGGGAAGAATCTATGGCTATTAAATGTATATATTTTTCTAAGAACGGTTCTGGGTAAAACTAAAGTAAATATATTCGTGTTTCTAAGAAAGGACTCGGCCTCAAAAGAATATAACGTTTTTTGCTTTGTTTTTTTCGCGCAGACTCACAGTATTTGAGGCTGTTTTTTCTTTGCGTCTTTGTTCACTGTAAAGGAGCGGACTGATATTTCGGCAGTTGGAGGCTTGATAGCCGCGCTTTTAACATGGCTGGCGGCAAAATTGCAGCGGTTTTTTTCTGATTCATGTTTTGTTGCCTGTATATTTTCTCGAGGCCATTGGGAAAGCAATTTTTGTAGCGTCAACTTCATTTTTGTTGAGGATGCACGAAGAATACGACTGAAATATTTGTTTTATTTTACACTGAAGTTTTACGATGCCACCTTCTCAGACTGGATTCAATCGACTGAATTTCTTAAGTTCACAATTAATGTACATTACATGACCGAAATGCATGCATTTCTCGCGCACAGATACATATTTACTAACACTTTTAACTGCAGTTTATATACTGCAGATTCTGCGCCTCACGATATCTGCTGCATTTAGCATCTTAATTGTAAATCGTCAGCGTCTACAGCCCTAAAGCATTATAATTAAGACGTCGCTTTACAGACATCAATTCATAGGCCACGTTCAATCAAGGGAAGTTAATACCGAGCACAATGAGTAGTTGTTGGATACCTGATAATTTACACGATTAAAATGTATAATATGTGCTAGGAGTTCTCTACAGTTTTAATTATTTATTATTCATTTTGGTAAACTCCAAGTCGAGCAAAAATAATGCAAACCTCTAGAAGCTTGCGCTACTTTGTACAGGAAAAAAAAAGTACAATACTCTTACTACAAATAATCTGATTATATATTACTTTGTATGATATAGGTTTTACTTTATATAATTTAATATTATTACAGTGTTAATGGGTGCTCAAAAAGGGGTACTTGGAGAACCAATCACCGGCTGCGTGCCTCATTTTAATGGCGATAATTGAGTTTAAAATTATTTAGTGAAACTATATTATTGGAATATTTAATGGGTCACCAACTCGGCTATGATCAAAAGTATACATTAGCCTATCATATTTACAGGCCTTATAACATGCCAGTTTTCTTTCAGGTATATTACCGACTGGGTGAATCAAGCTGCTTAATATCATGCTCGGGCGGCACTTATCCAATCGAGTTGCCCGATCGTGCATGTGATAGAATATTGAAGCCGGTAAGAAACTACACAACAAAATATTGTTTCCATCTTGCACCATCGGATACTTCGGCGCGCAATGAATAATGCCTCCATTATTGGATACCCTGCACCCTGTTCTCCTCTAGGCTGAGAGCGCGGTGGAAGCTACGTGGTCGTTGGACCAGTCCTACGTTAACCTTCCGCCATGTGACCTCACTCCCTTCCTTATTTACATTGAGAGAGAGGGGACAGGTTATGAAAAGGGAGACGCTTGATCGACTTGGCGAGCACGGGTTCTTTCTTACAGACATCGTATGGGTGAACGGAGTATGAAGGACTTAATTTTCGCTTGAATTTTAAAGTTGCAGCGAGTCTCTCATATTTCATAAATGTCACTAACGTATTTGAAACAGATTATCAACATTTTTAAAACAATGGTGAGGTACAAAGTTGCGATGAGCATAAGTATAAATTTACAAGATTATGCATTGAAAGACAGCACGGGATTGTAAGTTGGTTTGACAGATTTTATACTTGAAATTAAACAACTGAGAAGCAGCGACAAATGCCTACATCGAGATTTTAATATTTATTTATTTATTTATGCATACCCTCAATGCCTAGGGGCCGTTATAGAGGTGAGTGGGTCAGTACAAGTGGTTTTGAAGGGCTAGTCGGAATCGCTTGGAGTCGGGTATGGTAACTATGGCGTCCGGGATGTCATTCCAGTCCACAACTGCTTCAGGGATGAGGGGATGCCGGTGCGCTTGACTTGACGACTTGGAACGGGCGATCTCGTATGAATGGTCCAGTCTTGATGATATGTAGGTGGGCGGGTTTAGAAGAGACATTTTCAAGAAAGGTGTCTAAAAGACTTAATGAAGAACAGAAAGAGCTTAATGAAGAACAGAAAAACGGCGGCGGGAGGAATGTAGAGAAAGGTTAACACGAGACTTTATTGATGATACACTTGAGGTATGAGTATAGTCATTGAAAATAAAGCGAGCAGCACGGTTCTGAACGAATTCAATGGAGTCTGTTAAATTTTTCTTATGAGGATGCCAGATGGAGGACGCACATTCTTATTTAGGCCGAACGATAGTGGTGTACAAAATGCGTTTTAGGTTTTCAGGTGAGGATCTAAAGTTTCGCCGAATATATCCTAGAGAGCGGTTTGCAGAGGATATAATTGTTTCAATATGAGCATTCCATGATAGGTATGGTGTGAGATGAAAGCCTAAGTATTTGTTTGGGTTAGTATAATCAATGGGGACAGAGTTCAAAAGAAGTACAGGATAGGTAATTGACAATGAACGAGAAAAGCACATGCATTGACATTTGTTAGGATTGAAGGACATGCGCCCCGTGCTACAACATTCTGAAATTTTAGAGATGTCGTCCTGAAGCGTCACAATATCATCAGTAGAGGTTATCTTGCGGTATATTACACAGTCATCGGCAAAAAGCCGCGTAGTGGAAGAGATGTTGAGAGGAAGGTCATTAATACATATTAGGGAGAGTAATGGGCCGAGTACTGTCTTCTGGGGGACACCAGAATAAACAGAGCACTGGGAGGGTTTGATATAGTTAGCATAAACGAACTGGCGACGTTGAAGAAGGAATTATTCGATCTATTTTAGTATATTAGGGTCAATTTCTAGCATATAAAGTTTCAGCAGAAGGAGTTTTGTGTGGAACTTTGTCAAGAGCTTTGGCGAAATCCAGAAATACAACACTAGTGGGGTAGCCCGAGTCAAGGTTCAGGTGAAGGTCATTAGTATGAAATAGGAGCTCTGTTTCACAAGAGCAGTAGCGGCGGAAACCGTGTTGCGCCTTGCTACAAAAGGGGTTGTTTTTGAGGAAATCAAACAGATGCGTGAAAATGATGTTCTCTAGGATCTTAGATGGAATGCAAGAAAAAGATATAGGCCTCTAGTTGAGGGGAGATGACTTACTGCCGCTTTTGTAGACTGGAATCACCTTGCCGAATTTCCAGTCCTCAGGCACCGCCCCCGACTCCAAAGACTGCTGAAATATTTTGGTCAGAAATAAACTGCAAGACAGGCTAGTGTTACGTAATATTTTAGTGTTTATATTGTCAACGCCAGAGGACAACGAGACTTTTAATGAGTTAGTAATTTGAGATACATCATTAAATTCTACAAAAACAGGGTTCATTGGGAAATATTAAGCAGGAACGTGACCAGGTAAACAGTATGTAGAAATAGGTGTAAACACATTGTAGAAAAAAAACATCATTAAATATGGCTGCACACAGATCATCCGGCACATCACCCAAGTCGCTAAAAACCTCTGGTAAAGCGTGGTCTTTTGAATTAACAATACTCCAGAAACGAGGAGGGTTGTTAAGTAATAGAGAAGGGAGCGTCTGCTGAGAGTACACGCTTTTGCGCTCTGGTAGTTTCATTTTGTAGTCATGTTCACTATATTTTATATTTGGACCATGCCTCAGGAGTGTCAGAACGTTTAGTAGCACCGAAAAGCCTTTTCTCTTTGTTACAAAGAGACCTAAGCTGTCGATAAAAGCATGATTTCATCGAAGAAGGCCTGAGATATTTTAATGGAATGTTAATGTTAACAAGTTCATCTAACCTGTTTTTAAACTAGTTCCAATTCTCGTCAACATCTCGTAAATAAAAATTAACTCAGAAGAAAGAGAAATTGACCCACTACGCTCGGTTTATTTTTTCGTAATGTCCTTTTTCGTATTTTCCTATTTTCATATTTTCTTTTCTGAACGAACAATCTCTGTAGTTTCAACTTTTACGTAAAAATGAATTGATCGGTGGTCACTGATGCCGTCCAAGAATACCACAAGCGTTGGAAATAATTCAGGGTGGGAAGTAAGAACAAGACCTAAAATGTTTGAACAGGAAGGAGAGACTGGCGTAGGGAAGGAAACTATCCGAAAAATATTGAGATCTAAAACGACGTCAACAGATTGCTGAGAAACACTGTAGTTTTTAGAGCAAACAGGAGTTGGGTCGTTCCAATTAATACACGGAAAGTTAAAATCGCCAAATAACAGTATGGGATAAGTTGGACATTCTGTTAAAAGTAATGAAAGTTCATTGTGAAGAAGGCTTAAGAACGAGTGTGACGCGTCAGGAGGACGGTAACAAACACCAACCAAGACCGACCTAAAACTGCATTGCAAGCAGACCCAAACTATTTCAAGCTGTGAATGATTAGGAATAACTCTGCTAGGTATCTTGTCATCTACGGCTATAAGAACGCCACGACCGCGCCGTTGCTGCCCATCGAAACGATAGATAATGAAGTTTTGGCGATCAGGCAGTATTCCGCTATCAGTGACAGTGACTTGAGGAGTTCACCACGTCTCGGTCAGTATGATTTTTTGTTTTGGCGCTGCAAGACGAGATAATAATACTTACCTTACCACGTTTAAATAAAACGCTTCGAGCATTGACATATAAAAAGCTGATGCCCTCATACGAGCCTAATCTGCTGTTTCGAACACTCCCCGCCTCGCTCTATCGCTGAGCTTCATTTACTAACTTAGAATGTTGGTCATACACATACGTCTTCGAACCGATCAGAAGTTTATCGAAGCGTAGTTTAAATGAGGAAGTATGTCGTTTGGCATATGCGAGCAACATCTTCCTTGTGGTGCCAACAGTCAGTGAATAATCCTCACATAATGAAAAGGGTGTACATTTCAGTTTCGAGGCGAAAAAAATTAGCAGGTTTTTTTTATTTTAAAAGACAAGTTTTCACAATGATAGGCCTTGTTTTCCCTTGACGGAAAGCACCAAGGCGGAGGGCACGCTCGACATGTGAGCTATCAACCGCGACGCCCAAGTTGCCCTCCGCAAGGTGAAGCACTTTCTGCTTAAAAATTTGTTGAGACTCGCTAGGAGCATCAGAAATACCGTAGAACAAGAAGCTTGAACGACTCGAACGGTTCTTTAAGTCGTCTATGCGAGCCAGCAAGGTTGATGTTGCAGCATTCTGCTCAGACGTCACAACTTGTAGTTTATTAATGTCATGCTTAACTTCAGCAATGTTAGAGACATCCTTTTCAATTGAAGTAACACGATTAGAAAGAGAAGACAAAGCGTATATCTTTGTTGTTTCTCTAAGATCTGTTTTACGTCAACCTTGATGTTTTTCTGTCCAGCTTCAAGTATAGTTGATTTGGATTCAATGGTTTACAACATAACGAACATGTCATTTAACCTACTTTATTCAGAGGCAGACAGGGGTCCCGGATTTGTTTCCACATCACCACACTGCGGCAGCAATGCCTTAAGCATACAAAAACAATTAGTGACAGATACAATAAGCACTCCGGGGCATGGGAGCAGAAGAAGGCATACGTTGCTAGTTCGCTTAGTATATAGGGAGAAACGTTAACAGACCTGTTCGAAAACGAGCGTGTCCTGGTTAAGCGCCAGCATTACGCTTGCGCTCCTATGCCCACTGCTTGCGCTCCCATGACATATGATTGTTGTTTTGTTTTTTTCCTGTAGGAAAGTTGGCAAGGGTACGTTCAGGTGTTCCATCATCTCCCACCGAAGGAATTTGAGGTTTGTATACTACTAAATTTTTCATTATGACTCGTGCAATATGCTTGATTTTGCTGCGTTGCTCTATCACACAAAACTTGCCTTCCAAAAAGGTATCGGCACATCGGTAGTTCAACCTTGCGTTACAGCGCAATTATCTACACACAAATTTCGAACCAAAGCAAACTTTTCATCTAGGCCACGTCAAACTATTAGGTGCTAGAGAAAATTAGTCATCATGTGGAAGTCCTTATTTTCAACTCCTTTTGTAACCCGTTCCGCCCATTGGAAAGCACGGCGAAAGAGCCCATGCACGCTCCTGATCTCGCCACTCCACCGTCTCCGTCGGCAAGACAGATTCCGTCTGCTCTGGTCAGCGTCATCATTGTAATGAAGCGTCTTCTTTATGAACGAATACGTCAAAACAGACTCTGAAGCTGTCAGTGAAAGATGCTATCCTTTGGGTGCCACTGCTAGGGTTAACGCGGCAAAGCTAACAAAAATCGAATGATCTCTTGTGAAAGAAGGCATTGAGAGCTAAAAACGGTCGCTTGCGAAACCTTGGTAGTTAAATCGAGGCTTGAAATATGTGTGGGTGGCCAACTATATTCAAATTTTAGTATGATAACTTGAGCAAAACGAGGGGTGACTGCGCGCAATGCAGTCTGTTTGCGAGTCTGGCTTGAGGTCCATGCCAGCTTTGCCGAGTGAGTAGCAAACGGCACTCGGAAGATGGCGTGGCTGGAGCTGGCTTCAAATCATGCGTTCGTGTGTGTGTCTTTTACATATTATGATCATAGCAGACAAACTTCATTGTGCGGAAAGAAACTCTGATGCGTCATATTTAAAAGTGTAGTCGGATTTGTTTCGTTTTGCTTTTAAATGGCTAAAGCACGAGTAAAAATAATTAAAAATAAGGAACGCAGACGGCTTATTATCTTCAACGCCTAATATTTCGACGAGCCTTACAGGAATTAGATCTTTTTTGGCTATCCGACAGCTCTACTACTTGCACAAGGTGCCAAAGTATCAACCTGCCAAGGTGTTATTTAGAACATTATTTTGCATTCGAATCGTAAAAAGAGATGTGAGTGGGCGGTCAAAATGGGCCCATTTCTGTAAATATCGTGTATTAGTTCTTTAAGACGTTTTCTCTTAAATATTAGTTTTACCGAAACTTTGAAGACTACATCGATCAAACCATACATTTAAACCGCGTCCTTCAAACACCATTGCATATTCCTCAGTGTTGTCAGGTGGGATTCGCGCTTCTCTTTTGAACACTGAAGGACGAAGCGCTCCAAAGTTCTGGTCTCCACCTTCGGCTCGACCTACAAGAGCCCCACCTTGTCTGTTGTTTGGGGACTGACGGAGGTCGTCCAAGATGTTCAGTCTGTACATTGTTTTGTTCGGTGTCTTTCGGTCATTATCTGTTCGCTAACTACCTCGTGTTGAAAGCAAACAGTTCACAGAATCTCCGTTACTAATAACGGTGTTTCTTCTGTACAACGCCTTCGCGTTCTGGGGGCTTGTTTTTCTTTGTTCTAACTTTTTAAAGTACTGGATGGAATTCGCAATAATCAAAATAAATATTGTTTTACTAAATTCAGAATTTTTTTTTATTTGTCGGCTTGTTACTGCTACATTTGACTACATGTATTTCGACGTCTTCGCCTGTAAATAAAAATATAGAGGCAATAATAATTCACAGAAAGAAAGCCCAACGAATCCAGCGTAATTTATTGCATCATTTGAAAAGTCGTAGTTTTTTGGGCACCTTCCGAATGCGATATAAATGCATAGCGTGTTAGGTCCTCTTCGGGTTCTTCTTTTGACGGCTAAGTAAGGAATTAAAGGAATGACACATTAAGGATGTTTAATTTATTCAATACTCTTTGCTCCTTTATACACGTTGTTACGCTTTATGCCGAATGATGGGTACATCAAATAATGCATGCTAAAACACAGAAATGTTAGAACACGCACACAATGCAACAATAAAACAAATATTTACTATTGAACAAAACTCAGTATTTTGTTCTCATTAAAACAGCATCTTCCGTAATTGAAACTAACTCTTATGCAAGTAAATTCCGCTCCATTGGTCAGAAAAATGAAATTAAAATAAATAAAATTAGTATGATCGTTGAGTTATCCTACGCTTTGTTTAGTGAACGAGTATTGAAGATACGTGTTGCGATTCTCGAATGCTCAGTTTATATTGAGTGCCTCTTCCTTCATATAGTATTTAATAAAAAACGTTTCATGCTAAATCATTCTTCGTTGTGTAAGGTGCTTCATTGTCTAAGATGTTTAACACGCTTTAACTAATTTTTTATAACAGGCCAACTGAGTAATCTCATATAGCACAAACATATTCTACCAGATAAAAGAAAAAAGCAATTAATCTCTGCTTTATGTGTGATCGTTTTATTCTTAATTTTTCTACAATAAATTTAGACACCTTGCTAAGCTTGGGGACCACATTGCTTACGTTATAACTTTATTTTATACAGGAAAAAAGGGAACCTCCACGTATATGTTTTCTCTACATGATCAAGTTAAATAATTTAGTCTTATGTACTGTCGTGGAAATTACAAAATTATATTTAAAGAAATGTGGTGTAAGCACCAGGCAGGAGCCGGTCGATCCAAAGAGTTATATATGGGTGTTGTCCAGAAAGGAAATGATACTTCTGAGTGTATAGCTCGCGCGTGTCGTTTTTCTCTTTTTCTATTCTTGAGATCGGACGCGCCTAGCTGTGCTCCCAGTCCCTGCGTATATTCTCCCAGTAAAGAGGAGGTAGGACGAACGATCAAATCACACAAACATCCTGGTACCAACGAAGTTGGCTTTTCCGTGCCGTCTGGTCGATGTCGAGGTACGCTATTTCTTGCACACGTGCTTGCCGTGTGCAATATGTGCCGGTTTTAGCCTTTCCAATGCGACGGTGCCATTCTTGCCAAAGAATGGCACCGTCGCGTTTCGCTTTTTTTTCGATTACTGGAAAAGGTTCAATGTAATGTGGGCGCAGGGGTCTCGTTTGCGCCTGTCGCACAAAAACATAAAGTGGCTTCTTGGAGGTTTTGGATTATGTAGTAAGATTTCAAAGTTACTTGACGTGTAAGAACTGATGAGAATTCTATAAAATTTCGCTTGAGTTCCTCTAGATTTTCCAACTGTATTTGTTAAGTCAGTTTTATTTAAAGTGATTTTGATGGCAAGCGAAGTTTGGCGCTGTGCAGAAGTTCGGCGGTAGAGCATCTGATGACCATCCTTAAGCTGTTCGGATTGTGAGAAGCACAAGGCGAAGATGACGAAACAAAATCGAGGGCCCAAAATGAGCTGCAAGGGTTGATATAAAATGTTGATGAAATCATTCGACCATCCCGTTCGACTGTGGGTGGTAGGCAGTCGTTTCCAAGCGGTGGGTTCCCAGCAATCAAGTAAGCTCGGCGAAAAGTGTCTATTTGAGTTGTCTGTTCGAATTGGGTATTCAAATTCTGGACACCTTTCGGTGGCAATCCCTACGGTGGTAGCCAAAATGGGACACCCATGTAATGACAAACGCCTCAATTTTGGTGGCGGTGGTGCTAGCGGAGGGTGGATTTCACTCAGGCTATCGTGTAAGTCATAGGACGCACGTTAGGATGCGGCGCTATCCCTGAGAAATCCGTAGGGCTACGGCGAGGTTCATATGTATCTTGTTGAAATGGCGGTCGGGCTGGAGGAATTGTCGACTTGGTGGCACCGGATGCCGCTGGAATTTCGTGCACTGGCATGTGGTGCACGAACGCACCCAGTCAAGAACTTCGAATTTTATCGGAGCCACATATCGTGGTCGTAAAGGAGCTTCTGGGATGCTCGTACACCTAAGGCGTTGACCAATGTATCGCTTCGACGAAATGCCGTCGCAACTCACGTAGTACACAAGGTCTAGGCGTTCCCGTTCCAGGTCGAAAGCCACGATAATGCTTTCTGGAAAGCTTACATCCCGCAGGTATAGTGGCGGGGATAAATTGCGTAGGGCATGCAATCCTTGGTCGGTGGTCCGTAAAAGGTCCAGCTATTCCAAGTTTACAACAGAAGAAGGGAAAGTGTCGACGGCGGAAATCTCGCTGAGAACATCAGCTCGGACGTTGTCAACTCTTTTAACGTGACGAATCTTCGTTGTCAATACCGCCAGGAAGGTTTGTTGGTGAATCTAACGCGCTGCACGATGAGACCCGGGATTGCAGATGGCCTAAGTTAGAGGATTGTGGTCAGTCCATATGGTAAATGGCCGTCCCTCGATAAAATCTCGAAAGTGCCGTACAGTCAAATGGGCAGCGAATAGCTCACCCCTGACAACGGTGTAGCGCTTTTGGACTGGCTTGAGCTTCTTTGAAAATAAACAAATCGAGCACCACTCTTCGTCGACTTTTTGTTGTAGCACCGCTCCTATGGCTGTGGCAGATGAGTCGATCATCAGCGATGTTGGGTCGCCATGCTTAGGATGTACTAGCATTTTGCTGCTTCGGCAAGTGAGTTCTTCGCCTCGCCAAACGCGCCTTCTGGATCTTCCTTCTAAAGAAGAGACTACGTTCGTCGCTCTTGTTTTGCTAGAAGCTCAAGACGCTCGAGCAGTTTTGCGCAGTTCAAAACCAAGGGTCGGTAAATTTTTCCAACCTGAGAAACTGACGAAGCTGTGTGGTCGAAGCCGGTCTCAGAAACGTTTTGGTGACTTGTACAATTGAAGGCAACGGACGAATGCCCAAAAGGTCATGCGAGGGACCAAGAAATTCCAATTCTAGAACTTCGAACGGACACTTCGCGGCGCTGATGACAATACCGTGGCTAAGCAATCGTTCGAAAAGAAGGTCTGAGTGGGTCATGTGCTCTTCAGGAGACTTGCTGCATATGGGCGAATCGTCCAGATATGCGAAGACGAAAGGTAAGTCTTGCGTGACAGCGGCGATGAACCATTGAAATAACTGAGCTGCATTTGTGAGGACAAAGGACATACGGAAAAAATTCAAAG